AGAGAAGAGAGAAGATGAGATAGAGGAGGGTGGAGGAGGGGGGGAGGAGAGAGAGAGACGAGAGAAAGCTGGAGTTAGATGGTGAGAAGGTGGGTGGATGAAAGCAGAGGGCGAGTGCGGGCAGTCCCTGCCTCGCCGCCGTGGTGGTCCCGTGATCAATATTCCTTACCCCCTTTGCCTTGGCTTACCCCTCCGGCACGATACGGGTGCCCCTTACCTCGGGAAAACCCTCCTTCTACTCATATACCCGCCACCTATCCCCTGCCCCCTCAGGGGAGAACCCAGCAGAAACCCCTGAAACCCCTCTCGCACCCTTGTCTTAATTAGGAGTCTGAATCTGCGGCGGACACGCGTATAAGGGTAGCTTGGAGGAGGTCGAAAGGGGGTAGGGTGTGGGTGGATGGTTGGCGGTAGAGACCAGACCAAATCCACAGACGAGCCTCGTGTCCGAGACATTATTCCCAACTTCGTTGTGATCGCCCGACGTCACGGATGTCGAGTCACCCTTTTTATTATTCCCCGAGATAAACACATTTGCGCGTCCTTACTCTGCCGTGCGGGATCAACGCCGACTACCGCCGGCTTGCGTCCGGTCCATTTTCTGGACGAAAGAATTTCGCCATCGACTTCACCCCTATTTAACGCGCAATTAGCCGACGAGTCTCATACTTCTTACGCACATACAGGATGTTTTAAAAATGATTGCTTCTATGTAGATAGATTTTATTTGCTTCTGCAAAAATATAATTTAACATGTTTTAGAAAGGGCTGATTTTAATTATCAATGAATTTTTTAATCCTAATTACACTTTTTAGTATTTAATATATTTTTTTCAAAGTTTTAACCTGTATTCATGTAATTGTTTTCCACTTTGAAGTTTTGAAAAAGAGATTGCAAATAATATTAGTAGTGATTGATGATAATAAATTATAGCCAACGAACGCAGAATTTTAAGGTACTTGAAGAGAGCACACGCGGATAGCAAGGATATTTACATGCGTGGTACATATATAGTAGTATATGGAGGGTGGGTGAAGCTGAACTGAGAGGATATTGGGGTTAGGCCATTCATTAGATTATGGGAATTCGGTGGTACCGTCGAAGGGAAAGGAGAGGAAGGGCTGGGACTCGGCTGCGCGATCAAGGACCACCCTACGTGCATTAGCTTGCGTCACAAGGCGCGGTGATGGGGTTGAGAGCGGATGCAAAGTACAGAAAGAGTGAATAGCTTCTCGATTATAGATGCTCTTGTTGAAATTCTTGATTTTTCTTTAAAGTTACGTAATAAAGCTATGTTAAAAACCTATTCTACTTTTATAAAGTAATTTATATACCAAGAAATTTATGTGAACAAATTTATTTCTACACATTGAAAGAAAGCAAAATGCTATCATTATCTACATGCAAATAATGACATTTATTTAATATTCAATCTTTTAAATATTTGCTATTTTAATAATGTAAAGTTTTAAAAATTCAGAAAAGTAATTAATATTTCTTTTTTTCTTGCAGAGCCGTCCCTAGCGAGGCGGGACTATCCCCGCCAAATCATGAACAAGGTAAGTTCATATTTGTAGTCTAAATACATTTAAAAATTTTTTTATCTTTAATGCTTAAAAATTATCGTTACAAAAACATAGATAATAAAGTAAGATGTAATGTCATCGACAGCTTTATTATTAATTTAGAAGTTTTATTATTTAAGATTTAAAATAGTTTTGATAGTCTTTTTAAAGTGAGTAAAATAATATAGAGTCATAAGCAGGATTTGAGGCTTTCATTGAAGAACATGGCAAGTCAGTTACTAGGGAGGATCGATCTAACACCTTTAATTGGTTTCGTGCACTGCGACTCGCATTCGCGTGCGTGTTCGTATCTTTACTTACCAACGTCTGCGTCTACCAATCAACGAAATCTTATATGCGAAAGTTATAGTATTGCGTACTGAGAATTATATAGAACTCAAGATACATTATGTGAAATGTGCATATCTTGCATTTTTTAATTTAATATTTATAATTTAAATATATATGATAACCAATTTTCTTAATTTTAATTTTTAAATTTAAAAAATGTCAATTATTGTATTTAAATTATGCTTGACTTGTTCTTATTACTTGTTATTATTTTTAAAATTTTACGTATCGAGATTCTTAAATAATTAGTTGACAAATAATAAAATTAAAACAATATTAGCTTTAAAAAATTTAATTAAGCGACAATAATTAATTATTAAGAATTATTTATTATTAAATTAATTGCATAATCTTCTTCTGTAATAGTAAAAAATATTTTTTATTCCTGGAAAATGTAGCGCAAAAAGTCAATTTTTCAAGAGAAGTTTACATCGACGTGTTAGTTACGTGTACCTGATTACAATGTGCAATTCATGTATAACTTGAGCCTCATTTGTAGGCTTCTTATGCGCCGTCTGCTTTTCCTCATTATGCATCGCACATGAGAAAACTTGCTTGGAATTTCTCTTCATCCTCCATCTCTCTTTATCTCCGTCTCTCTTTTCTACTCTCAGGTCTCTCTCTCTTTTCCTCTGCCATCTTCATTCTGAGGGTGCCGAGCTACCATCCCCCCGCATATCGTTGCCCACCTCGTACCTTGGCTTCTTTATAAACTTTTAATGACGGCAAAGCCTAATCGAGAGAACGAGCGAGCACGCCCAGCTTTGTGAAACTACCTAAGAAAATCGACATTAGATCTCAATGTTCGATACTTAACCAACCAACCATCACTGCGAAAAGACGTTCGCTTAGTTTGTGATAATGATTTTGCATGCTACCTTTTAATTATTATTGATTAATTTATCAATATTGCGAGAGAAATATGAGTGATACTTAAGTAGTAATCTTTGAATCGATCATGAGACTAATGTTCATTATTTTCCAATATTGCTGTAATGTATAGCTAATGAAAAAAAATCCTTAGAAATTAAATGTAGCAAATGCAAAGTAGAATGCACATTTTTAACTGTATGAAATAATTATATTTGTAAGAATAGATTTACTGCATTTGTATCTAACGCACTTTTTTGACTTGTTACAAATGTTAATATAATCATGATGAAAACAGAATATTTTATATAAAAAAATTATTCTGTAATTATTTTAAATTATATTATATATGTGAAGAAGATGAGCAACTATTTATTTATATATTTTTTTCTATTTCTTTTGAGATGCATAACTTTTTGTGTAATATTATGTAATCTATTTATTTAAAAATATATCAATGACCACTCGATAGTCGATAGCTCGTGATACAACGATGCATAAAATAAACCGTACGAGCACGAAGTTGAAGTTCGAGTTTGAGCTCAAGCTCGCGGGGGTGCTTTCGATTTGCAACAAATCATTCAGCGTTTACACCCGGCTGCCCGTCCAGTTGAATTAAACTTCCACCGAGAACTTCGTTCTCCGTTTACTGGCTCGGAGGTATACATATACACTGGATATAGCTAACCGTCTGTACCTGCGAACTGCTTCTCGAAGTTCGCTCCCAGTGCCTTCGTGCGAAAGCAGTTAGCTGTTTGACGTAGCGCTATGCTCGTTACGGACATGTCTGGATTAACATACCTACGCACGATGTACATGAGTAAAATAAATTAAAGCGATAAGTGGTATCTGAAAGTTGGATATTTTTATATATTTTAATATACTTAGTTTCAACGGTATCTGACGCTTATATCATATTTCAATGTACTCGATGTAAATGTATTTAAAGTTTGTGGATTGTTATTGTAAGACTTTTACATGAAGAAAAATTTGATATTGATAAATAATATTATTTTGTTATTGCAAAAAAAATAATAATTGTGTTTAATCGACATTTATCGGGAAAGTAGATTTTTAATGGAAGTACATGTTTCAATATATCAATTGAATCTACACACTATCGCTGGTTCGTAAATTCGGTCGTATATGGACTATAGCTTTTTCTTTCCCTCGGAAAAGGGAACAGCGACATAAACCCGTAACGTTCGACTCCTAAAGCACGATTAAACTAATCCTTACTTATTTGTTCCATGTTCCTCAGTGCGTACGTCCTGCTGCTATTAGATATATCTCCTGATCGTTGTTTCCTTAGGGATGCTTCTGGGAAAATTGGGCAAGTTCGAAGTTTCTTTCGAATCGTTGCTTTCTATATTTTATACGCTTGCCATAATGTTATAACATTATTATATGCGTAATATATATATATATATATATAATGTACAAATATATATGTATATTACTTATAACAAGACTTTCCAATATATTATATCTAAAACACACTATGAACCATTATAAAATATTAGAGAAGACCGGCTTTTTTCTTAATATTATTAAAATTGAACATAATTTGTTAATAGTTTAACAAGGTTTTCATTCATATTTTTAATTTTATATAATACATAATAGCATTATGTATATGATTTATTAAAATTCTGCAAGATATATTCCTGACAAATCTGGATTTTAAATCTCATTATCACAAGCACTAGTTACGAAATGAACGTATCGCGGGTTCTTTTCCGGCGGCATTTAAAGTAGTACCGGTGTCGGGGTATATACCGTGCGCCATTTAGTGGCGGCACTCTTTCATAAAGGACCTTAATAAAAATCCCAATCTAAACAAGCTTAATTTACGTCCGCCACATAATTACCTACCCTGAGGCACGACTTCCCTCGCTCACTCCCTTTGCCGCACGTCGCGAATTACCTCCACCGGTTCACTCCTCGCAGGAGAAAAGGCGAAGAGACGGGAGCGAAGGAGGCGCGCCCGTCGAGAGCGCACTGAAAAATCTAAGAGGCTTAAAGCATTAAAAGGGTTATATAACATTCATTACCAACGGGTCAGCCTTTGTGAAATTTCCCTTGGAAGCGCCTTCACTCGGTGGACATGACTTTCTCTCGCCCCTCTTGATTTTTCTCCTCTTCCTCACCCTTACACCAAGCCGCCATCTTCTTCTTGTCGATTCGCGCTCTCGCTCTTTCGTAGCATCCAACATCCCTCGTCTCTGGGGGGTGCAGAGTAGTCACGTGATTGCGCCATGCGTCCGGCATGAGGGGCAGCGGGATGGAAAGTGGTGGAGAAAGGAGAAGAGAGGAGGGTTCGCCTCTCTGATGAAGATGTCGCACACGCCGGGGACCCCGGCGAGATTACTCGGGTTAGAACCTACGGACCCTGGTCAGGGCACATGCTAATTGCTTTATTTGACATCAAGAAATAATGTACTGTTGTTCCATGGTACGACCGTCGTCGTATAGGAACCTCGCGAGGAAACTAGAGGTCCTTCGTTCTCACTTCGCGTCCTTTCTCTCATTCTGTTGTTCTTTCGATTATTTCTATAAATTCTCAGTGCGTTTTATGAAATGGCGTTTTCTTAAAAATCTTGTGAAATGCATCGTGTCCAATATAAATGTAAACATTAACGTATTTGTTTCATTTCATTCTGCAAGCATTGTTATATATTGTAATAGTTATAATGAAAAGGACGTATATAAAACGTATATAAAACGTATATAAAACGAAACACAGATTTCTGGACTTACTCAAAAAAATACTTCTATGTAAATATCAAGCTGTTTCTTATCATATGCAATATTTTTTTTTATTATTACAACTTTCCAAAGGATGGATTCTAAATCGCGTGGTGTAGAATGCAAAGTATAGAGCAACCGGTTATAAAAAAGACTTATTTTCAATACTACGCGACTCGCTGAATCCAATTTCATGGAGCTACGTGAGACGACTGGCTACGTCAGGCAGGTCAACTAGAAGCCGGACCTAATAACCCTTAGTCGGGCCAATAAACATTTTTCCGGGTTACATATGACGGAATTTGTATGCCAAATCGCGTATATCCAAGAGACGAGCGATGTGTTCCGACGCGGGGCACGCGCCTCTCTCGTAAATATGTCCACGGTTGGCAAAGTGTTATCGGCAGTGAGAGGAAAAGAGGAGTCGAGCGGGAAAAGAGGGGGCGTATGGGAGCTTAGGGTGTTAGGGTCGGCTCTGGGGTCGCCAAGGGTGCATTTCATCTTCGGAGGCGTCAGCTCGGAGACCGATCGACTATACCGCCGTCGGTTGGATCATCCATCTTTTATCGAATCGGACCTGATGGCCAGGCCGCCATCGTTGCTACCGCGGACACAACTTTTGCCTCTCCAAAGACTCCTGAGCGTGGCACCTGAGCGTGTGCGTCTGCATGTAAATAATGGACAATGCTGTTTCGACGCGTTATGCCGCGGCAGCTTGTCAAACTTTCCACTCACATTTCGCAACAGGAGATGTTTTCCCATTTATTAATCGAGCATCGTACCTAACAAAAATATTCTCACGAAGCAATCAGATAAGCCCAAAGACGCAATCATATTTGCAACATATTAGACTGTTACGTAGTACTTTCGCACTGGTGTATGTGATTTAACGGTGATCAACGTTCCATTGGATTGGGCCATCCATCTCTCGAATGGAAATCCGACATTCGATGCCAGAAGCCGTTACAACCTTCTCAACTTTCGTCTCCAGTAGCGTCCATCATATGGATGGAATACGCTCTCCT